TCCTGATAGGAAGCCCCCAAAATTTGGAGCCAACAACTTGAGAAAGGTATTAATGATCAAAATGTGATTAATTATGTCTTTAACATGTCTTTAACATTTACATCTGATAATTGCCAGTAAACATCTGGTAATTCCCCCAAAATACGATGTTTTCCCAAACCTTCTGTGCTATTATCTGCAACAGCATAAAAATGGCCACTATATCAACAAAGACTGACATTTCATGAGGTTGTTCTTTAACCATTAAGATTACTGTTCTTCACTAGCAATGTTCTAATTCTGAAGCTTTGTAAGTACATCTAAATCTCCTTGTCTTCTAACAAGTCTTCCATTGTCCATCCTACTCAGTTTAGTTTGTTCTAAATGACAATACAGAATGTATCTCTGCAGGATCCCAAACAGTGAGCTTGATCATAGCAATTTGGTTTGAGAAAACAGCATTTTTGGCCTACAGTGCTATATATCCCAAGCATAAAGGTACCCCATAAAAATATGTTGAGAAAATAGTTTAGCAAAACATTAGGAACTCTTGTAACAAAGTACCCCATTGGGAGTATCTCCTGATTAAGATTCCATTAAAATTGTATTTTTGTGAGCAGCTCTATAGCACTTTCCTCCAAATTAAATACTTATCATTTATTTGCTGGGTTCTGTAAAATGAAATAGGTTATCAATGTAAAGTTAACTTTGCATGTTTGACTCAAACCATCAACATATTAACCATCCACCATTTTACTGTATAAAGGTTGGAGAGTGGAAATACTTCATTTTCTCTCTTACTCTTTTCTTCCACCATTAACTTAGGGATGGAACAGCCAGACTTAGGCACACAGTAGAAATTAGGGTCCTAAAAATTCTAAAAGATTCTTCTCCACACTGCTCACCCATCTCCACCATATTGCAACCAAATGGGATGTCACTGCAGTTTCTTGACATGTCAAGAGTACGTCACTGATAGAACATCTACATTAACACACCTTTTGCTTCATAAACCCAAGCATCTGCCATAGCACAAAAAATTCTTCTATTCTTCTTAATATCTCTGTTCCATTTCATAGGAAGGTTAGAGTGGCACAGTAAATATACATAAGATTGTACTGCAAAAGTGCTACTTCAATTATTTGTAGGAAAAATAAGCATTTGTGCCAAGAATGGTACCATGTTTCTCCAAAAATAAGATCTTATTTTCTTTTGACCCCCCCCCCCCCTTGGCCTGATTTTTGAAGCGGCGAGCATGGTCATCTCATGGCTGCTGCTGTGTTGCAATATTTTGGGGGAGAAGTTGTTTTCGGGGAAGGGATTATTTTAGCACATGTGCTCCAAAGCCAGATTGGGTTTATTATCCAGGGAGGTCTTATGTTGGGGGGAAAAGGGTGATTATACATACTTCATGCTCTTTGACTGCATGTGTTGGGCAGCACAACTTAAAGGTTTGGCACAATGTGCCTAATATAACATATTATTTTCCTTCTATAGAGGCACTCATATGGGCATTAAACAATATTTTGTGGAACTGTTGATTTGCACAACCTCCCAGTAAACAATACTATTCCCTCCCACCCTCCTCCACTAAAGCTACAATGGATGTTATAGCAGCAATGGTTAATGATCCATCCTACAAATGTCACAAATGCACCTATAAAACATGCATATTTAACAGGAACACCACTGGAGTACACAATGCATAGAACTGTTATTGTTAATATTTCCCTCTCTCAAAATGTCACTGCTTTCTTTTTTAAAAAAATGTTGTAAATATCTTTAGAGCAGAAAACTGCTAGGAAGAACTGGATTAGCTAACCCCCATGTTTTTAAAGCTCATATGTTTTCCAGTGATCCATAGGGTAAAAAATGCCCTTACATTGTCTCCATAATAAATTGCTTTGAAATAATTTATTTAGGCAGAGCTGGGATAATACTTTATACCCAAAGTAACTTAATATCCATACAGAATACTTTTTATAATCAGATGTTTTTCTGTTAACATGAATAGAAATACAGAAAAAAAAATCTAATACTCTTGATTGAATTTTGGTATGGCCACAAATAGAAAAATGGCTTTGTTAAGTAGATTTGTTCCCTAAACAACTTTGCCTGTCCTTGGATAAGAAAATACAGCAATACAATGTATTAACTCAAGTTTTAGAACTAATGTATTAAAGGAGCATTTGTATTGTCTGATGCAAAATTAATCTGTAATTAAGAACTATGGTTATTTCCTAAAGGTTCGGCTGTGCACAAAGCAGAAGGATCCAACATACATGGATGAACATCTAAAGAGGTTCCACAGATTTGTATAATTTTTAAAAAAACTCTACACGATCACTAGATTTCAATAGATATCTACTAAACTTTTGAGTACCTCTTTCCTGTCACCTAGTGTTTTTCTGGACTTCTGCAGCCCATAAAAGATACTGTACCAGTGGTGGCTTTCCAAATTTTTTACTACGGATTCGCTCTTGAGTGCTTGCTCGCACACATGTGTGACACTTCTGTGCATGGACAGAAGCATCCAGGCAGGTGGGCAGAACTTCCTGCCGCCACTACTACCGGTTTGCCCGATCTGGGCCAAACCAGGAGCAACCCACCTCTGTACTGTACCCTTTATACCTGCCTTTCTTTCACTGCTAGATGTTTTCATCATCACAAATTTACGTAGGTCACATCTAAATAATGTTAAATAGAGCACTTAGAAATTCCCACAAAAAATGTGTCAGCCTCTGCTTTGCTGCTGCTTCGGCTGCCATTGAAACGGGGACGGGGGGCATGGTATTTGGGAAGGGAATCGTTATGTGGGAGAAAGAGGCTTTTGCTGTTCGCTGGGCTTTATCAACATGGCGCCATTTTCTGGAAGGCGCTAAGCACCCTTTCGAGGTGTGGACTGACCATAAAAACTTGGAGGCATTGAGAACCCCCAGAAAACTTTCTCCTAAGCAGAGGCTGGGCTCAGCATTTCAATAGATTCAATTTTACCTTGAAATACATTCCAGGAGGGAAAAAGTTTATGGCTGATGCTTCGTCCAGGCTCCCTCAGTACAACTGTTCAAAGCTCAGTGTTGTCCAGCCTGTCAGTCCCCAAAGAGCCTGGCTGCTCCGGTTGTTACTAGAAGTCAAACAACTTCCAAAGTGGAAGTCACTGAGGACTTTCTATCTAACCTGAAAAAGGCCCTCACTGAGGATGACTGGTTCCAACAACACATGGATGAATGCACTATAAAAGATGGATTGGCTTGGATAGGGGCAAAGTTATACATCCCTGTGTCCATTAGGACCATTGTACTTCAACGGGCTCACGACTCCCGGATGGCTGGACACTTTGGGTTCGTTAAGACCCTGCACCTCGTTAAGAGGCAATTTTGGTGGCTGTCTCTGAAAAAAGACATTGAGGCTTATGTAGCTAGTCGTCCA